TTTTCACTGTTTGATTCAACCGTGGAGTGAAACAGTTAGTAGCTATTAACTATGCAGCTCATATCCTTCTTCTACCTCAAGTCTGCTGACGGGCTGATCATTAAACGGTTTTTCTAGGACTAGTAAATACTAGTTAGAGAGGGTGCGCAGAACTAAGCGCCGTTATCAGAAGGCGATTGCAGTTGGACACAGCGGACTGTATTGGATGGGCTACAAGAAGACGCGGATGGTTGAAGCTAAGCAGGAGGTACACGTTAACGCGAGAGGTCACAAGGTTGTTAAGTGTGGAGACAGTTGTACGGAAGATTAAAACAAGAAAGGATAATATACAATTGGTCAACAATTAAGTGGTACATAAAAGATACCGGTTAGTTTGTTGGGCGCTACAGTTTCCTCAATACAGATTTAGTACGTAATCCAGTCTCTTCTCACTCTATATTTCAACTTTTGGGTGCCTATTAATATGTGCTTCATCTTAAGCTAGCGACCGACTCTTAAAGCACATTTCACCCAGCACGCACCGTTACATTTCTCTGCCATCTACATTTGACATGCATATTTCACTGTAGAAGCCCGCCTTAGCGTGTTACACTTAGTATCATTTGGTGCTACTGCCAGCTTAATCCTGCCCCTCTATCCACCTTCAGCGATGAATTCGCACGTGTTCACAGCATATAAAGTAGTCCCTTCCATTCTCTCTAGTATTCCTAACATTGAACGGTCATAAGTCCTTGTCTTAAATTAGGATATCTAGCGGCTCCTGCTTTGCAGTCCATCCGGCTTCTCCACTATTATATTTTCCATCTATTTGACCTTAGAAGTCCAATTTGAGATGGAACACCTAGCATAGTTAGGCGCCGATGTTTATCGTATCAGGCTACTTATAGTCCAGCTTAAAGCCGCATCTGCTACTGTTTTCTCACTACAACGGCATTATACAATGGCTTCCATTCTCCTCCAGTTCTTAACATTGATGGCCTGATAGTCAATGCCTCATCGTTGGATGGTTTCTGGCAACTGGTTTGAAATAAATTTGGCTTCCACCACTAAGCTCCGCTGTTGGCTTGTATTTTGCCTGGTATTTTTCACCGATATGGCCCATCTCGAATGGAACAGTTATTATCTTTTGACGATGCAGCTCATATCATTCTGCTACCCCACGTCCCTTTCAGAGCTGGCCCTGCAACCGTTTCCTCGCTACAACAAAGTAGGCAGTCCCGTCTCCTCTCAGTCTAGTTTTCAACATTGAATGCTTATCAGTTTATGCCTCTTCTTCAGATAACGAGCGCCTCCTGCTTCCCATTTAACACGGCATGCACCAATGCCGTTTTCTACCCTCCATTTAACTTATATGCTTCTCGATAGAAATCCATTCTGTAGTGGAACCCTTGGTATGTTTTGACGTTGTTATCCAAATTTGCCGATGCCCTAGCCCAGTTTAAGAGCTATCGCTGCAAATTATTTCCGCTAGAGCTGTAGCTTGGAATCCGTCCATTATCGCCCTTGGTTTTAACTTGTATGAGTATTAGTACGTGTCACCTTCCTAGATATCGCTGGGCTTCTGCTAGACAACTAATCCGGCCGGCACCTTTACTCGGCTATGCCGACCTATTAGAGTTGGATTTCGCACTGTAGAAACATACCCTGTAATAAAACACTTGTCATTTGCTGACGGTGCTGCCTGTATTAATCCTGGTCACTTCCAGATCTGGCTCTAAAACCGCTTTCGCACTAAAGGAGTCGTAAGCAGTACTGTCTGTTGGCACTCCAGATTTCAACCCTGCATATTTATTAACTTACGCCTGCGCACAAAATTACGTGTCTCTCTTAAATACTGATTAATTGGGCTGCAATCAAATCGCTTCCAAGCCATCCATTGTAATTTTACGTTCCACCATGGAACACCTATTCATTTGTTGGCGCTGCTGCATGTGTTATTATGATATTACTGGCCTTCCTCGGAGCTGGTTCTGCGACCATTTTTACACTACAGCCGTAGTATATGATCCCATCTATTCTTACTCCAGTTTTTAACGTTGTATGCCTATCGGACCGTGCCTGGTCAAACAACATCGGGCAGTTTCTTCTTCATAATTAAGCCAACTCCCAGTATCGCTCTATGCTGCCGTTGATTTGACGTGTATGCTTTTATGTGGCTGTCCACCTAGGAGTGGATCACTTAGTATCTTCTAGCCTAGCTGCCTAAATTTTTCTCCTATTCCAGCTCCCTTTCATATCTGGTTTTCCAGCCGTATTCTCGCTACAGATGTGGTATATAATCCCACGTATCCTTGTCGCAACCTCTGAAACTCCGTCTCATACCACAAATCAGCTACGGCTCTAGCGTCCGATTACTGAGCATGTGACGTTATCCTTCACATGGAACTCCAACCCGGCGTAGCAATTCCACTGGCTCTCATCAATGTTCGAACGATAAGCTCTACCACTGTTCATCGATAGCCCAACCTAAGTTTCGTCACATATTCTATTACTCACTATGCTCGTCGGATTTCCATAACTCATTCACTGGCTAACAACGCCTGATACTTTCGGTTTCTAATCAGGACAACTATAGAGTAGGCTAGCTCAATTCAGGTAACATTTGTCTCTCACAATCAACAAATATTGGGTCCCGTACTTGCATGAAAAATACAGCTCCGCTCTAAAACATTTTCGACCGTTCCACTGTTTTTATCCACCACAACGTAACATAGTTCTGTTCAGTTTTTTGACGTTTTGCTCGGTCAGTTTTTCCTCTATCCCATATGCCAAAAGATAAGCTTTTCCGCACGGCACACCTTTGAGGACATATCTGCGACGCTAACCTGGCCACGGAATCAACACAGAACTATAAAGTCCGCCGCACAACACCATTCTGACATGATAATAGAACACGGAAAATTGATCAAATCAATACAATCTGCCTGTGTCCTCTGACTTCAACAGTTGGTTCATATTTGTTCGATACTTGTAGTAACTAGTGGCAGTGTACAGGCTTTAAGTAATCGTACTTTTCACTTTCAGCCCATTACAATATTTTTTAATCTACCTTAATATACTTCATCTTGCTGACTGTTCAGAATTACCTTTGGCTATATGCTTTGTCTTCAGTTTTCTCGTTATTAATCTCGTTTTTATGATTTTCAGGTTTGTGTCAGGAGATTCGTCTTCATTTGTTCGCCGTATATGTGGTAAAATCCATTTATTGTCATAGGCATAATACAAGCAAGACAGCAACTGCTGCAACTACGCCGGTCTCCGTTAATTTGACTTACACGTCGACTTCTACGTGCAATGTACTTGCGGCAAGGCAAGTTGATGTGGCAAAGAGGAAAATGACCCACAGCATCTTACAACTAATCTTAGAAAGTTGCTTTGCTATTGTAAGCCTTGTTAAACTTGAAAACCTAATGGACTATTGGTGTGCAGAGACTGCCGTGTGATACCACAATGAAAATTGTACCGAAATACGGAGATTTTATATAAGGCTTATTCGATTTACTCGCTTATAATGTACCAGACCGCTTTAAAGTCCACACGAAACATACATTAATAATGGAAGCTTGTGGCCTGGAATGTAACCTTATCAGTGTCACCAGCTTAATGAAAACGGCGGATAAAAAATTTCGCTAACGATTTTGCACGTCTAGTCCTTATTGATTAACTTACAGGCAATCAGACAAATTACACAAACACGCACCAAAATATGCCAGGAAATTTTTAAACTTAAGGTTATCAATTGCGATTACTAAACTACATTTATATAAAAAATATGCACACATTTATTTATCGTATGGTTTATTATGCTGAACAACGTTTACTTAGGCTAATTATAGCTTTTATTTTAAGCGTAAGCAACTAGCGTATCTAGCAATCGATGTAAACTCCGTCTGTACTAACCGGTCATTTCTATAGAATTCTTCTGTGGTTTATCCCACGAACACCAGTGTCGTCTGTTTGCGAGTTTAGCACCATTCATCACTGGGTACATTGGTGTAGACAAATCGCTTGTCTTGTGTTAGACGGCGTAGGTTAAATAATGCCAGCCATTAGCATACGTTTAAATAACTGTCTGTTTTAGTTACATAAGGCGATTATTTAACTTTTGTCACCTGCAAAGTGTTTGTCACTCTGACAGATTTGCACAATGCAACCAAAGAAAGGAACCAATCAGGTCGACCCGGTTTAAATGGGATCACAATATTATGTATTCATTGGTCAGAGTGACAAAATTGGCGAAACCCTAACGCATAAATAGAACCAAATAGGTCAGTTCAACTCCACAAATTAGACAAGCTGAATTTACCTTTGAGCATGAATTCAAGTTGCGCAATCTTGGTAAGATTAGTTGTTGTCAAACTTACAGTGCAAATCAGTAAGCTTGTTATTTCATGGTAAAATATGAGCCCGTAATATACGCAAGGTTTCAAAATATTTTATACATTGTGTCGCTCTTTGTTCTGCAGCGAATTATCGACTTATATTCCACATAAAGAAGACACCGTGCCACATAGCTAATAAAATTATTGTAATACGGCATTAGAACTAGGTGATTTACCCATTACATTTGGTGAGTTGAAGTTATATGAGTTAACATTTAGTTATATACCTAAATGCACAAGTAAACATTTTTATATTCTGAGTAAGAACAAAAGAATTTTAAGAAGATTGAGCAATTCAGCTCTGGTAATCGACTGTAATCTTATTATTTACTTGATGTGTAACATATTGTTTACTGCTGAACACCATCGGTAACATTCGCAAAGCCAATGCAATGGTAGAAATCAGATGTCGTCACATCCGCTTAAGAATCACATTCCTTGTTATGATATGTTGAGCTTTGTTTACCTTTCATCAATCTTGTATTAATTTTCTTTCTTTAGACTATGTAGTAGACAATGCGTTTTGCCATTGCAGTGACAACGCTTGATGTTATTTTGGCTTCTTATTTCTCCATGCATTAATAAACAAGTAATGGTTCCAACTCCGTTTGCATTTAGCTTACGTTGTTCGCCGCGCAGCAATGGTCATTTCGATGTTCGGGAAGACGGATTCATTGTGATGTGGTTTGCAAGGAACTCGGTACTGATTTTAGTTACAAATGTCAAAGACACCAAAGCAAGGGTCCGTGCGAAGCTGCTCTATCAGCATATTCCGACTGCCTTCTTAATTGTATCTATGGAATACAACATAAGAAACATGGAACCACATGTAGAAACAACCAATTAATAATTTTTTCTTTTAACTACATTTTCAACCTATTCTGGAAGCTTTTGCATATGTTTCAGGACAGCGCACAGACATACTAATTATTTGATATTTTTGCTTAATGCCGATAAATCGTTAAAGTTACATTCTCTCATGTTTATCTTAAGTTGTTTTGTTGTACCCATATGCAACGACTCGTAATTTACAGTGTTTAAAAAGGGTTGTTTTACTTTTGCTTTATAAAGCATTATGCGGGTTATATGCTCCTTAGTAGTAGACGAATTTAACACTGAAATATTGCTGGGGAAGAGCCTAATTAACTGTTTCTACCTCTACGTCCACTGAAGGAAACTCTGCTTATCGGTGCCAGCTCACTTTGCCTATAATCTATTATATATAACTACGGCGCTAATTACATAAGCATAAGCGATAGGAATCTGAGTTCCCCTCTATAGCATACTTGTGGAAGTGGTATTATTACGAAATAACTCAGCCTAGAGCCTAAGTCAGTCTGCAAGTCTAAACAAGCCACTGTGATGTACGTTCGTCGGACGTGGTCGAGATCTACAGGGGCATTTAACATTATAATGCATCACATCAATTAACGCCCATCCAATGAAATGAATCCCGTGCAATAAATAGGGAACATCGGTAATTTGAGCCTTAAATCATTTGTCTGGTTGCCTTAAATTGCCTTGCAAAATGTGGCATGAGTTTGGTTGTTTACGTACTCATTGTTTTCACGTGTACATGCGTTATGAATCGGTCTGCTTATTTTAAATATTGTTTCAAATTGTTTGGAGGCATAGGCTTTAAAACGACAGCATAGGAGGCATTTGTTATTTAGTATAAAATAAGTCAACATTGAGTTAACAGTTGCACAAATGCAAAGGAAGCATACCTTTGGATATATAGTAGAGGAAGGAAAATTATGTGGAACCATTACTAAAACTGAGGGCTCCAAGTAATAACAAAACAAAATGTCCGCATAGGAAATGTTGAGACCACGTTTGTTACGGCCAAGGAAATTTTATGTTTCCTTTAATATATATTATTTGGTCTACATGATCATAAATAAATTTTGTTGCTTAAATTAAGAATGGTTTGCTCTATCAATATTCCTTGAAAATAATAAACTAGATTGCCTTAGAATAATTTAGATATATAAGTAAACAACTTTCAAAAAGTAAGTTTCATGCATCCAATAGAAACAACCATTTTCTGTTAAATTGATAACACATTTGTGTTAGTTTAAGCAAAACCCTTTCCAAAAGCAATTGCAAGCTGCGTGGCAAAGGAGCTTTAAATAAGTTGTTTGAAACTACAGGCAATAAAACGGTAATTTAGAGAACAGACATTGTTCAATGTTAGACTGATGTAGAATTTCTTAATTAACAAGTTAGGTTGACAAGCCTATTTTTTGTCACCGCGTTTTGTTAATACAGGAATCAAACAGAACAAAGTAAATGGAACGATAACAAGGCAGGTGTGCTAAGTAAAGAATATGAGTTAAGGTTAGATATAAATAGATATAGCTAGACAGAGAGATAGATGTAAATAGATAGATAAAATTAAACAAAGTTTGCTTCAGCAAATGATCATAAACGAAAACGGTTCTTTTCTATTGGCTATGGAACATTCATTGAGTAATAATCGTGTACGTTCTACCTGAGTACGCCTCGTTGCGCTTGTGACGGATGCCACTGTGGCAAAATTACTCAAGCGCGTTGCGATAAAATTAATTGCAATCTTTGGAATTACTAAATGATGGATAAATCTTTTATCCATGCAGTAGAGCTTGTACAGTACCATTAAGAAATTGTGAACCCACAATCTACTTCCGGGTCTAATTTTTTATGAGTTCATAAACCGTAGAATTTCAGCTGGGATGTCATATTTTCTGAAGTAGATAACCAGAATGGAATGCTTTCCTGCAAAGTAAGTTGCAAATAAATAAGTCGCAGTATATAGGATATATTCGTTTGCTAAACAACAGGCTGATGCTCTATCTATGATAGCATAATAGAGGAAATATTTACACGAATGCCTAAGTCAAATAACATATATGTAAAATTCTGTTTTATTAATATGTAATGAGCCCAACGAAAAAGAGATGGGTTATTCTTAGCTTCAAAGTATTTAGAGTTCTCCATAATTGCATACGTCGCATTTGCATAACTTGTCTATCCGTTGTTCCTTAATGACTGGCGAAGGCGGATTTTTGATCTCTATGTTGTACAAACCCACAGCGAGACAATTTTGTTTCATCTGTAAAGTCCATTAATTATATGTATAAATGTGAGCAAAAAATATCCGATTAAGTTTAGGATGAATACTTAAATATGTCAATGCAGTCGTCTTCATAAATGCTTGCTTGATTCAGTCAATCCGTCGCGTAGCAATTGAACCAGTGTATAAGCAATATGTTACTAGGTGCAAATAAATTAATTTACAAGCACAATATCTCAATTTGTGCAAACATGTGATTATATGATCAGGAAGCAAAGATATTACATGTAGTTTATACCCAGGATTTACAACCCGTGCAACACAGTACATTAAAAATCGTTTACAGAACGAATCACTTATTGTTTGCACCTTTATTGGTTAAGGGGTTAACATTCATTAAGTTTTGATTTGCTTGGGTTTGGGGTTGACGAGCTTCGGCTAAACCTACACTTGCATAAACCGGTAACCTTAAGGCACTCTAAATTTTCATGTCTGAAACAACGCCAGTCTATAGCAAGTTATCTCATGTACGCATGTATAGAGATGATTACGAGGAAATCAGTTGTTATTTGACCTAATATGACCACAAATACTAGGGAACTAATATTTTCAAAATTCTGTAAAGTGTGCAATCATTTTCAAATCGCATAGAGCTAATGAATACACAAACCTACTGAACGGATGATGCGTGATTCGGTATTGCATTCTGATAAAGCTTCAGCGTTTACAATGACTTGGTAACCATGCAAAATTCACATCAAATCTTTCCGGCGCAAAATTGGTAGGGAGAGATATAGTGATTCAAATAGGAAAAATATCAAACTGTTCTGCAAGCTTTTGTAAAAAGTGTCATATTTATTTTCTAAATATTACCAAGCTTCTTAAATTAACCATTTAGGCATACCTAAGCAGAACTAAAGAACCACGCTCAAAACAAGATAATCCTGCAACTATTCACTGGTTTGGTTGCTGGAGCGCGTTTTGTGACCGATTTTGCTCCTCGTCCACTAAGTATGGCCAAATCGTTAAGAATGTTGGCTTTTTAGCAACAATTCTACAGAACGGCTTTGATATATGCTGTGAAGGCATTGTTACTGGTAGCGAATACCGTCAGCATTCAGCGGTGCTGAAGCCCCATATCCACACAAAAATTTTCAGTTCGGTGTTTGCGCTTACATTTTTGGCGCTGGGGCACCCAGAGGCAAAGAAGCGGGCACACAGATGCAGCCCATCTAGGACTAAGGTTGGTTTAATAATTCTCCTTTGTAAAAGCAAATATATAGGTGTGAAGCACAATTAGTGCTTATCTATTTCCGGCTTGGACCTGTAAGATGTTTAAATTTAGGTCATCGTTGATACGAATTACACACGTGAAATCTGTAAACGCACTCTTTCTTTGAACCATCTAAGAACAAATGTCATCAAAGAAGCATGGAAATACAAACCTCGGAGTCTCCCTGGTAATCGGTATAGTCAACTGGGCGATATAATTGAATGGGTGTCGGTGCGCAGCCAGTGGGTTGTCATATGTCTCATATGTACTGGATACACCCGTTGAGCCCATAGGAAAGGCAAATACGTTTAACTTCATGAAAGAAAACCATCTAATGCTCTGGGTCACGGTCTTCAAACGGATGTCGCATTAGCGACTCCATCCACTTGGCTTTAAGTGACGCCTAATTATTTTCCACATCGGCAGAGCTTTCCTGGACACCCATTGTGTGTAACATTCAGCAAGCATCTGTGAGCGCCGTTACTACGACGACTTCTCGGATTGACTCGCAGCGATCAACGATTAAACTAGCGAACTGAATTCGCATTAACCATGACACGCCCTGCTTACTCATGAACAGCTAATCTTGAGGCATTACCATGATTGTAAACTGCAGAGGCTGTTTCGACAACGTGCAAACGTAATAGAATACACGAACTTAAGAAAATTTTTGATCTCAAGTGTTATCAACTTGGCGCAACAAGATAGTACAAAGAAATAACAAGACATGTTTTGTTTGTCATTGCATTGTGTATCTGTGGCAGTTAAAATGTTGGAATCATGGTAATGCTATTTCGATAGTGAGGTGGCATAGCAATGGTGGTAGCCTTTGCAACTACAATGTTGTCTACCTAAGTTTATCCATACAAATCGGACCGTCAATCTAGATATACAACAGCAGGCAAGTTATGTGTGGCGTGAGAATAATGAGCGTAGTATGGCACGCCATGCACGTTGACGTTTGCCACTGTATGGGACCTTGCTTCTAATCTCGTCCTCAGACAGTATAATTGATCAAAGCACTGCGGTATATTTCTACATTACTTAAAAGAGCAACAACCTACATATAATTTTGCCACCCAACGGAATGCAGCACAGTCCATAATATCTTTGCTGGATTTCAAATAGGAGCACTTGCGCCCACAATAACAACCGAGGGACACAGTGTGGCATCCGTTGTCAGACCAAAGAAAGAGGCGAAATTATCCTTTATAAAGTCAAACACAATATGAAATTAAAATAAACTTATGTTATATGATCAAATATGCCTGAGTTCGAGGTCATTTCCAGGTGAAGAAATATACTAGGCTACAAGTGCAATGGGATTCCATCCGTCAACTACTTACGATTCAAAGCGAAGCCGTTCAGTAGCATGCGCTTTGTCTATCATCCAAGCTCGACAACTTTTGTTGAACCCCGAGTAAAATACAACAGCTGTGATCAAGGTATGCATCAGAGACCATTCTTTTGTCAGGCACCAAATAAAGTGCTGAACTGCTCG